TGATGTAAATCTAATTCCGGTGGTCCTAGAGGGTATTGCTACTCATCTGAGTGCCAAAGGAGAATTCTGCCATCATAAAATATCAACCTTTTATTTCTAAAAACAGCATATGCTTATATGAATGATGTTATAAACTTTTAAATTATTGTTATGTTTCCATGGGACAGTTATATTCATAAACGTCATTGATTATCGGTGGCAGCAATGATCTTAACATGTAAGACATGTTAAGAATAGAACAAGTTAAGCTTTTAAGATCAGAGTAACTGGAAAATAAGTCAACAATGGAGCACATACAGTGGCTGCTAATGTGGCAACCCAAACAAACAAGCAATAGTTACTACCTACAAAATAAGTTTTTCAAAAATACAATGTGACAGGTTTGTATTTTATTTTCTATGAACTTCTAGCTTTTTCCTCCAGCTTTTTAACAGTCTCACTTATGAACAATTTGCCCTTTTATAGTGACTGAAATGCGAGAAGGAAAATTAAATTGGTATTTTGTAATCAGTTTCTTTTTGTGCAATGCTCCTAAGCTTAAAATATTGATCTGTGTTTTAAAGAAAAGCTTTAATTTATTTATTTGATTTTCTGTAAAACCTTTTGGTGTGGATATGGTGCAATATTCATAAACTTGCCTTGCATTTTGCTTGAGCCTCCAGAACCAATAACATAACATATTAATTGCTTATAAATCTTAATGAAACCTCACTTTAATAATCCTGAATTATTCCGTTGACTTCCTTAAAGCTTCTGAAGGACCTAGAGTGTCTCAATCTGATCAGTCATAGATCAGTGCTACCAACCCTTAAACAACAAGGCCTTAATGTCAAATGTTTTGACCCAAAACATCAAATAGCTGTCGGGAATCTAATCTGTCAAAATGCACAGCATCCCTCAAATTAGCTGTCAGTCAAACTCAAAAGTGAACAAGATCAGCCCAGGAATAACAAGCAGGTCAAAAAGCTGACAAGTCACACAAGAGGCCAGTGTTCAAAGTAAAGAATATAACAAAATGAACAAAACAGAGAACGAATCCACTCTGCATCACAAGACATGTGTAACAACACGCCATTGTCATTAGGCCTCAGAGTCTTTGTTTGAAACCACACTGACATATTGTGCTCTCAGACAGCACTCGAGACTGCCCTGATGTTTATTCAAATAACCAACAAGTGCAACATTGGCATGAATTGGATCTTCTTTCTTCCAACTAATAAAGGACAAAGGCAGTAAAACAATTTATCTGGCTGTCTTAACACAGCCTTGCTCACGTCGTGTTTTCTTCTTGAATCTCATCCGAAAAGAGAACCACTGAATACTAGTTCCACTTCAGGCCTTTCTATTTGCTCAACTTTCTGTTCTATGAAATTATAAAGGGAACTTTTTGCAGCTTTTTATCCACTTGATAGCACTTAGTTAATTGCTGTCCTTTCATCGACAAAAACGCATTCTGTCACAGAAGACGCACACACCAAACTATAAGCATTCACTGGCTTTGTAAAGATCTAAGTGATATTCCTTTTTATGTATTATAAAATTAAATGTAACCTGGTTTTAAACTGATGTATCTTATACCATTGTCGGCACACATTGAATCTCTTTAATACAAATTTGTGAAAATCAAACTACAGCGCTGCCAGCAGCTGTATAAGTGCCTACTTTCCGAAACAATCATAAAAACCTGGTGAAATCTCTTTCACTGGAGTTATCAGCCAATTACAGATACAAGAGATCATTGAATTAACACATGAAACTTGAAAGCTTTTGCACTTTGATGCAGAATGTTCTCTGGGAAAAAAAGAGAAAAAAAATATGTCAGACCTTAAACTGCAATAACACATTGAGTCACCTGAGTTATGGGGCAGTCAATGGGTATTGTGTTAAAATGAAAAAATGTCACTGTTCTTTTTTTCCCTTTCTAACATTTTTGTAAATGCTAACTAGACAGCGATATGAATGCACAAGAAAAAAAATCCCCACATTTCCTTGCTTAATAAAGGAAATGGTATTTAGCATTAACCCCAAATGCTGTGCCCCTTTGAAACAACGGACACCAGAGCAGTGGAAGAGCAACAAAAGACAAAAACCCAACAGCACAGAGAGGTGAGCCAACTGTTCCAAGTCCTGCACAAGGGAGGATGGAGTAAAAAGGGGAGGAGAATTGGGAAATAATTTAGCATTTGTGTAAGCTGTTTATCAAATTATTAACTGCACAGATGTTTCCGACTAGGCTACGAGCTGAACATGAGGTCGACCAAGCAGAGGAACAAAGGTCTGAAGGATTCAATGGAGATGTGCACTGCATGTCAATTTAATTTACTAGCTGTTAATTCTTATGCAAATTGTGACCTCTGTTGGGGCGTATCAATGGCTATACACATTGCATGTTGCTACAGGAGCAGCAGAAAAAAACCCAGTGAAAGATCCCTGCAAAATAGTGTTATATTTGTAGTTTGTTTTGTAATTAGAAGAAAATTTATATAATAACATGTATACATATATATATATATATATATATATATATATATATATATATATATATATATATATAGAGAGAGAGAGAGAGAGAGAGAGAGAGAGACAGAGAGAGAGAGATAGTTAGATTAAGTATATCAAATATTTGTAGTTTGTTTTGTAATTAGAAGAAAATTTATATAATAAAATGTATATATATATATATATATATATATATATATATATATATATATATATATATATAGAGAGAGAGAGAGAGAGAGAGAGAGAGAGAGAGAGAGAGAGAGAGAGAGAGAGTTAGATTAAGTATATCATTTAATAGAATATAATATCATATAATAGAATACTTTGGATAACAAAACTAATCCTGCATATACTGTGTATGCATCCTCCCAATTGTCCCACTAACCTCTTTCTATGTCACTGTGGAAAATAGGGGAAGGACAATAAGTTTAAAATGGTCAGTGTTAATATTGTCTGTACTTTGAATCATACTACAGTAAATAAAATCCTTACCACACATGTCATGACTTCAAACAAAGGTTAATCGCACAACCAACAACCTTGGACAGGCTCAGCTGGAGCAGCAATGAGGCAAGTCTCATTTTCTTCATCACCTCTAAAGCACTGGCTTTCAGCTCTCTGTGCCACAAACAAAAAAAACCTAGCAACAATATCAATTATACATGCAGGAGGCAAACAGGGGGATTTATTTCACAACAAATAGCCTCATAGAGAGATGCTGAATAGGGCAGATTAGCATTAAAAAAGGACAACAAAACTCCCCTGTTCAACTGCTAAAGAGCAATTTGATGGGTCTGGAATTGGGGGAAATTGGTTGATTACAATGTGCATTTGAGGGGCTGGAATCCAAATCTCTGACATAGAGTGTTCAAATGAACATACTTCAAAGGTTTTGGGAAATACTGATAATGATAGTCATGGTTATTATCTATGTTGCAAAAGAGGGTTATTCAAAATATAAATGACAGAGAACATACAAATCCACTATTTCTAAAATAAATAAAAAAACTATATATTGAAACTGACTGATTATACTCAGTTTTTATACACCACAACTAATGCATTGGTCAATAAATCACCAATGTACAGATAACATTTTAAAACTAATTTGTAATGCAAAGTAGAAAATTAAGCTTACAAATTACTGTTGTATGTGCAGAACTGTAAGGTTTTAGCATTTGTCTTTGTGGAAAGAAGCAGTTGAACAAGCAGTGTGATAAACTAAAGCAAAGTATGACACAAAGCAGTAAAAAAATATGTTTTTCTGTGAATGAAAGGAGAGAAGACTGCCACTGACGGGGCATTCTTGTCCACTATTTAAACATTATGTCTGTAAATTTTGTGTTGCGTAAGTATTTAAACCAGAAGTCCAGTTTGCCACAAGTCATACAAAGAATGACCCATGGAAGAATGAGCTCTGACTACCTGTGACTAAAATTAAACCTAAATAAGGCCTCCTCTCAAACAACATGGTTTGAAAAAACAACACTACAGTGCACATCAATCTGAACCAATCATTTAACACTTTTCTTCAGCAGGAACAAGGAAGCTGTCCAAGCCAGGATGAAGAAAACTAATAAGAAGCTACAAAATACCTGAGAGTGGGGAGAGATACAAACCAAAACACACAACCAAAACTGCATTGGGATTTTATACTTTAGCACATTCATGTGTTAGAACAATTCAGTCAACGTTGCCCAATATCAAATTGGGAATCCCTTGCAAAATTTAAGGACAAATGCTCTTCGTTAATTTGACTGAGCTCGAGCAATTTCTCTAAAATAAATTGTGAGACTTTTCAGCTTGTTATCTGTGAACATTTTTAGAACAATACAGGGCTTTGATTTGGCTCTTACTTCACAGTAAAGCAACACAATTCAATTAGTTTATCACGTATATGCAATAAAACATTCTTATGTTTATGGTAATCTGTCAAAAATGTTAAAATGCTTTTTCAAGGTGTGTGTGTGTGTGTGTGTGTGTGTGTATTTGTGTAGCTACTTTTTTCTCTTGGCACATCATTGAGGCTATGTGTCTGTAAATTCTAAAAAGGCTCTTACGAGGAAAAAGGAAAAGTCATAATTTAATAATACATAAAGGACAGAGATAATGGGTTTAATGATAATAGCAATCATTTTCAACGGGCAAGTTTACTTCATCAAGATCAACATGGTAAAACATGACATTTTGAAAAATGTCAGTGATAAACTATGATGGAAGATAAAAGGAAACTGCCATTATCTGTGAAAACGAGACATCAGTCTTTTTCTGACAGGGAAGGGAACGCTTATCAAACAAGACAAAGGATGTTGATGGATGATATTTAAGAAAGTCAGACTATAATCCTTGATAATCAGAAGTGGTATTTAGGCACTTGCATTTTCATTTCTCAAAAGACGACGCTTTCGTTTTTAGCATTTAAGAGTTAATTTAAAAAAAAACAAAAAACAGACCATGTGGATTTTGTGTTTACCAGCAAAGGTTTCTGGGAAGTCGTTCTCATGGTAACCACCGTAAACACAACCGCCTTTCTCTCTGCCTCCTCCGTGTGCCTACCCTTCATGGTCTCGGCTCTGCCGCGGCTCCAAAGCAGGTGAAAATGGCTGCATCGACGTACAGAGAGGACCGCTACTATGCAAATATTGCGCCTATTCAGCAAAACATGCGTAAAAGGTAAGGTATTTCTGTTTTTTCTTACCAGGAGCGTCGGGCCGAGGTAGACTGGGGGCTCGAGTTGTAATCTCTGCCGCCTGGTGGTGTCTTTATGCCGCGCGACTCTGGCTAGCTATGCGGCGAATTTCAACAGCTAATTGTGTCTGAAGCTAACTTAAGCTAACAGAGGTAAAGCGAGAAGCTGCTCTTGTGTCCATACGTGAATACTTGTCAAAGCTAATCTCCGTTTAGTGATTGCGCTATTGTTTTTTTTTTATTAGATTGCGTGCCTGTAAATAATAGAGCTAATATTGCGAATAATTAGCCTAGAAATACCTTTTATGGGCTAAGCTACATAGGTCTTCTTTGAGGGAATCCCCTCCTTGAAGTTTTGGTAGTTTTGTACAACTTTTTCCGGTTCAAAATGGAGCTATTTACCACCGGACGTTTCGGATTTTTTAAACCGTATTCGTACAAAGCAAATGCGCAAGTGTAAAAAGTTTAGTAAGTTCAATACACATGACATTTAAGTATTTTATGTAAGTGTTCCTCCTACAAAAGACAAAGAAAATTATATGCAATGTTTAAGTAGTTATAAGGAGAGGAAAAGGTTTGTTTACATGCGCAATATGAACGTAAGAAGGGACAACATGGAATTGGGTGGGTATGAGTGGGGGTCATTATTTCACTAAGGGGCAATTGACCAGAGCCTTCATGGGGATGACAACTTTTGTACTTGTTTCATGTCTGTATGCAGTGAGAAGCGCAGACTGGAGCTGGAGAGGGAGTTGTTTACTTACTCCAGATCAGACAAAAGAATGTAAGTTTCACCAGTTGACAAAAATAAGAATATGTGGACATCTGAACTTCTCATTTTGCATTTTAATATATTTTTCCCCCTCATTTTCTTGCACATGTATGCTACATAGTATTATTATTATTCACTCTCCAGAGGAAATCTCAACATTGCAATGCAAACAGCTGTTCAATAAAGAATCAAACAATAGTAAAAAAATGACTTCTAAAGATTTTCTTCTTACTGTTCTAAAAAAATCTTTAAAATGCTTAAGTGTTTTGCCTTGAGAAACAGTTTTACCTTCTTGTTATGAATCTTAGAGCTCCATTATTTTCTAATAACGGCATTTAAGCAAATTAAGAGGTCATAGTGTGAGGCAAAAGGTACCTTTTAACCTTGTACCAGGTTGTTTTGTATGAATATTTGTGTCTGGTTACTTAGCAAGAATATTGTAAATGGTTTCTGAGCCTTAGTAGGGTGTCTTCATATTCACATTTCAGGTCAAAACAGCAAAGCTCATGTTGATATGAGGCTTCTGAGCAAGCTTCAAATTTAAATCATATTGTGCTTAACCTTTTCTTATGAGAGGTCTAGCTCTTAGTTTTTGACAATGCTCTCAGATAATATATCCCTTGAATAACACTTCTCCATTGCCTTCAGCTTGCAGATAAAGTGTTCCAAACTGCGCAGCTATCTCAAAGAAATCTGTGGCAGGGAAGCACGAGCGAAAATGAGAAACCTTCAGCTTAAGAGAGATGTGGAGTGCATGGAAATTAGCATGAAGGAGCACAGTTCTGACCATGGAACCCTCCAACAACAAAAGGTACTACATTCACTCACTCTGCTATGTATTTATTAACGCAGTTTCAGATTGCTTATATAGATTTTCCCTTGAAATAAGCACTCTCAACAGACTGCAAAATCCCCAACCCAAGCAAATAAATATTTTATTCATAATCTGATTAAAAAACACCTCTAGCAGTAAACAAATGACTTAAAGAAAAAGATTACTTCAAACACATTTTACACACATTAGCTTAATTGCCACATTGTACATTTACTACCAGAAAATGCATAGTAGACAAGTAGACAGCCCATTGAAATTGCTCATAGTGGCTTGATATGAGAGAAGTAAACACTCAAACAGTGCAATTTATCACCACAAGCAAATGAACAAGGGACAAAACAATGAGCCAGTCAGATTATCACTTAAAACTCAATGACAGTGCTTGACAGCTTAATATCAAATTAACAAAATTGGCTAATTATGACTCACTGAGTTAATTGCCCAATATAGAGACTCTGAAGTGCTCCAGAGGTTTAGTCATTCTCTCCCCTCAAGCAGTTGGTTTATTTCCTCTGAATGCTTTTGAGCCCTATATGTTTGTTTTTGTTTTGGTGATTTTTAGCATCGCTCTTGCATGAATGATTTTATTACCACAATTGTGACACCTGAAAAAAATAAATATTCCAAAAGTAATAGGGATAAGTTTTATTTTTAACATAAAGAAATATGTTTAAAAAAGCGTATATTTGAGCTAAACCAAGACTTATTGTTCGATTGAAATACAATTACAGTGTGAGTTTAGATTAAGGCAGTCAGTCAGATAAACGATAAGGAGAGTATCTTCTTCTACACCAGGCACGCTCACTTGAGTAAACTCGCTTCGACTGATAGCCTGCTGCTCCAAGGTTGTCACTTTAGATTCTTTGTAGTCATATAATGTTGAGCACTGGTATTGGAGGTAATCCTTTTCTAATGCAATGTGAATATGATTATTTTTTCTATATTGTATCTGGTTATTTAATAAATTTTTTACACAGGCTGACTTCTTGGAAAAGATTTCCAGATTCACTCAAGTGAGCAGCAAGACAGAGGAGCTGGAAGCGGCAAAGGTAAAAACTGATAATATTTTGGTGCTGTAAATTTTTCGGATAAGAGCATCAAGCTTCTTGTGTATGATACATTTTGCTGCTTTTGTGTTGTTGCTTTATATTTTGTGCTTATTTTGTTGGTTCTTTTTAACTCGTGCTCGATGCTCGTATTTAAAAATGTTTACAAGGTTTATGCAAATTACAGACAACTCTATTGGGGCTCTGTTTTCAGATTTAGGAGAAGAGAGGAAAGCAGACATTATGCCTAGTAAATCTGTAGAGGAGTCTACGTTTAAACTGTGTATCTGTAATAGCACAGGTGTCTAATCCTTGCTGGGGAATCTGCACAAGCAGTGTAGTTCAAGCCCATAGCTGCTTTCTCCCTTCACTTAAAGCATTTAAAGCTCTTTTAGATGAAATGTCTAAGACATCTCACAATAACTTGGAGCATGCTGTCTAGAGCAGTCACTTGTAACTGTGTGCAGCCCCCCTACTCTCTCCCTCAGCCTGTCGATATTGTAATGAGCAAAATGGTACCGTCACTCCATTATGCATACAAGCCATTGGCTGGCAGTGTGCATGTCCCTCAGGCTGCAGCATTCATTAAGGAAAGCTTACCGGGCTGAAAGCTGGAGACAGATGATAACGGGATATGATTTTCATATTTAATACATTCCTTGGAAGAGCACACGCGTGCCGCAGATTGATAGAAGAATCAATTGCTACTTTAGTGAAACACTTTCTACTTTGCCCTGCAGCTACCGATGGAATCACTCAGCCAAGAAATTAACTTTTCCTCTTTTTTTTACCTACTTTGTGGATCTGCTGGGCAGGCTGCATGGGTTACAGTGAATGTTATTAAGCAGCTAACTGTTTGGTATTTAAGACGCTTATCAGAAAAGAAACAGAAGCTACGCTTTTTGTTGTTATGTTTGGAGGGAGGCTTTTTTTCCGCTCTTTTCTCTCTCTCTCTTTTTCCTCTTGGTGACATTGCAGACATGAATCAAAACTTGTCTAAAGGATTTTTCACAAGATTAAAAGTTAAAGCTTTGATCCTGACACATTAGTATAAAAAGTAGTAAGAAGAAAACTCTAACCTTTGCCCAAATAAACTACACTTCTTATGAATCAACTGGTGACATGTAGCGAGTGAATCTCAATAAATAAGGGTATTATTTAAAATTTTGTTTATGTCAGTTGCAAATCTACTGAAATCATATATAGATTAATTACACAAAGTGTGGAATTTTAAGCATTTTCATTTACCATTGTTATGGCTGACAAGGAATGGAAAATTCTGTGTTTTGGAAATCTTTCATATTACATCACGCCAATAATAAAAGTAATTTTGATAATTTTTTTTATCTAATTGCAATACACAATAACTCGAAAGACTCCTGGCGTGATTGCTATCCATCAGACACTCATTGGCATTTTTCATGAGTGAACTGTGAAAAATTATTGCTTAGAAACTGGCTGTTCAGACTTCAGTGTGCAAGGATTATTCTTGGAATGTTTAGTGGAAGGGGAAAAACAAGCTGCCTAGAGAAAATTTTGAAGCAAAGCCCAGGAGTTTGGATGGAAAGTGGAGGGTTGAGTAGCTAATTTATAGTTGAGCTGGGATTAATGCTGCCACACTCCCAAATGCTGTGCCAAAAATACCAGAATAAATGCCACTTTCTGATCACCTCCAGTGCCAAACAGGTATAAATACAAAGGGAACCCAATCCAAAGTATTGATTCTACATACTTTAAAGTACCTGTATTTATTGTTCAAATATCGGAGATCCTTTATTTTTTGATTTGGTTTTATGATGCAAAAACATGTTTTGTAAGATTCATGCTAAATTTTGAGATGAAGGTTTTAATTTTTTGCTTTTTCTTCCTTACGATATTCCCACAACACAGCGACTAAAAAGATACATTTACTTTGGGAATTGGGGACAGTTTATGTTCATCAAACACTCTAAATATATTACTGACCTTTAGATTTTTACTCAATGGCAGTTAAAATATATTGTCCTACCAGATATGAATCTGTATACTGTATAGGATTTGTTATTTGAATTGCTTAAATTATTTTACTTTTGATTATAATTAACCAAACACTTCTACATGTGTTAAATATGTTAAATAACACTTCATTTTCAGAAAGAAAACTCCAGATGAATATTTTTATGTTTTTCCTTAATGCAGACTAAAGCTGTGCAAAGACGACAGTGGGACAACAGCAAGAACTTTAAGCAAGTGGAAATTTTTATGGACCGCCAGACCTCCAGGGGCTATGATGCCGAAGCTGGCACCACAAGTGTACACTCACACCAAGCATTGCAGCGTTCGCCCAATCGCAGCGTTCAGCCGTGCGAACGTCTACCGAGTGGCCTTTTGAAGGACTTCAGAGTTGGCGGAGAGAATGCCGCCAGTAAGCGAGCGCATTTATCAGATGACATTTCAAGCTCAAACGATTCCCCTGACGGCTGTAATTTGAGTGACAAACATGAAAGAGTGTCGAGGCTGCTCCCATCTGCTCGTGCCTCAACAGCGGCAGCTGGTTGTGTGGCTTCTGCAAGTGATGATGAACGAGAAGCTTCACCTCTGGTGACCTTGACGAGGTCTGGGAAGAATCCATTTCCCAGCAACGGTAACCCTGCGATGGCTAAGAATCCCGCTACAGAACCCACTGACTCCCAAGAGGTGGCTCGCAAGCCTCTCATAATGGGAGATGAAGAGAGAGGTCTTAGCCATTTGAAGCCTGAAACCACTTTCAGAAAAGGAGCTCAAGAGACATCAGGTTTGCAGTGATATTTCTCCCTTACTACCTTGTTGTAGCTTTTATCTGCCTTCACAGAAACAGTTTTTAGCACTTTATTTTGCCCTTTGAAGTTTTTATATTTTTCTTTAAAAAAAAGCAATACTCTTTGGGTTGTTTACATTCAGGAAAATGTGAGAGTGATGGAGAATCTTGCTCAGATGTGCAGTTGTCAGAGAGCAGTTCCAGTGACCTGACAATTTCTTTGACACAATCGGAGCTCGAGGAGGATTTACCAGTGGAGACAGCATCAGAGAGAAATGCCTCTTGCAGAGGAAGTGGTGATCACAAAAAGCATCGTCCTGATTCATCCCCCCACTCTGACGAGTCTAAGAACACAGAGCAGTTAAACAGTGAATCCTTAACACCAGGGGTGACTTTGAAAAGGTAAAGTATGTTTGAAGTGTTTTGGTTTCTGAAATTTTAAAGAGACTGTCCAGTGTTGTTTTGTTTTCACATATAAAGCTACACGGACAGCAAAAGTACATCTGGGTAATGTTGCATGGATTTTTACAATGCAGAATTTTACAAAATATAAGATTTGTACTGAAGAAAGAAATCTGCATTTCTTCTAAATTTGTATTTGGGTGATGACATCATAAGAGGCATGTGAATTTAGCTAATCATCTAGTCAAGAACACTAGGTGACAAAAACTTTTTCAAGTTGTGTTTAACTACAAGGGGTTGAACCTTAGGTCTTTGATGACCCCCAAGACATGATGAATACTGCCATGGATGGTGAACAATGACAGTGATTATCTTCTAGACTTTAACTCATAAGACTTTGTTCTATTTTCAGTGTTTTCCATTTGAGTGGTGTCTCTACATATTCCTTACACATACATTATCTCTCTGATCTCTCATCATCCGGCCCCACTCTTCTGTACCAAGTGCTTTCAATTTATCTTGTAGTTTTTAAAATAAAATTTGGATACATGACTGTTAAACAACATCTATTAGTAGAAGGTCAAAGTTTTTGTTTAATCATCGGAGGTTCTGTGTTATGTTAGAAAATTATTGTAATGTGATAAATTCACATTTCCTTAATTCTCTCTTTTATGCTTCCAACTTCATCTGTGACCTTTAACCCCTTGATTACTGTAATCAGTGTCAAGTGTGGGCATTCTGTACAGACTCCACTGAATTATCCTAATGAGATGCAAAGGGTGAACTTATGGTACTTTGACACAGTATTATTAATTATTGTATTCCAAAATGTCATATTAATTTACTAATGTAGATGCAGTAATATTGGTGATATATTATGCAGCCTTATCCAGAGTATAAATCTGTCATATTTCATTGAAGTCAACAAGCCTAAACGGAGGATTTTGGAGACAGTATAGCTCTATATTTTATAAAAATATTGAACTAACCCAAAAAATAGAAAATAAGAAAACTGGTACACAATTGTGTGTTTACAGGTACGAAATGGGGGCAGGAATAAATTAAATAGGGATGCATAAGTAAACAAGAAAACTCCTGGAACAATTTGATGAAAACAAAAAGAAAAATGGGAAAGAACAAAAAAATCTAATCAGTCACTTTATGCCTTTTTTGTGTCACGAGAGACATTTTTGCATGGACACTGGTTTATGGGAGGATTCACTTTCTTTTCTTATTTAAATAATTATTTGCATCAAACCAGCAAACTAAATCGAAACTAACTGACAATGGCACATTTTTCTGTTTTCTTCTGTTTTAGGACATTGTCCTTTTAAAATTGGTACAATTTAGTGAACCCTTTTCCAAAAACCTAAGCTAAGCTTGCATAAAAGAATGTTCTGCATGCTCATCCTGAACCACATTGCAGTTAGTGATAGTGGGCAAAGTTCTTTGCAAGTATCAAATCTGGGGCTGACAGAGAGGAGCAAAGGGAGTCACAGTTCGTGCCACAGTGTTGTCTGCAGCTTCGCATTAGCAGCGGCTGTTGTGGCAGTGATGCATCTTATAGAGGGGAGAGCTCAGGACCTGTCCACAACAATATTGCCATAATCCAAGATAATGCTCTAACAGAGCAATTTTCTGCTTGAGAGACCTCAGGAAGTCCCCACTGGAGGAGGAAATTGTGGCACCATAGAGTGTTCTGGAGGGTGGGCATGTGGACAGCACTTACAGCCACAAATCCTTAGCGTGATGATGGCTTCTGAGTTGAAGGATCACTTTGGATGGAGTCGGAGTCACAGAAAACCCCATGTGAATGTTTTTGCACACAGCGCTTCTGCTTTTTTCCCCTCTTCATATAAGCAGGCCCTTGTGTGCATTTTACAAACCACTTTATTTTTGTGCATTTGTAAACATATTTGTTTATTTTTTTCTTCTCTCTCCCCTTATCCTACATTATAGATTATACTCTGCTTACTGTACCTGTTATAAATATCACAACCCTTTCTGAGCGCTGTCTAATTAAAAGCACATTATTTAAAAGTTGGTACAGCCTTTGTGTATTTCTAAAGCAGTTTGAAAGATTATGTTTTCCCTCTAAGGATACAGCAGGCACATTTATGTGTGGTCTAGCATACTTTTTATGCTGTGACTCAGTTGCCTGCAATGGAGAGACGACGGTGGGGGCTGCTGCCACCATTGTTAACACAGAGCTTCTATGTCTGAGGAGAAAACCAGAGGCTTTGATGTAAAGCTCAGAGAACATCCTGCGTCTATCGTCTCCCTCTCTTTCCCTCTCCCTTAAGGTTAGAGTTTATATCGCTCCTTCCATTCAAACCCCATTCCCAAGCAATTCATTAGATTATCCCATTATATTTTCTTCCTCCAGCACGGACAGACTGAGAGAGACTGAAATATTGTCTGAGTTTCTTCTCATAATGGCCCCAGTGTGTCCGCCTCACAAATACAGTTTCACCTAACTGCACAATGGCTTGAGGCTTTTTGGTACTGCCAAGCGCTTTTTGTCCAAATTAAAGAGTAGTACTTTATGCTAGCAGTATAGAATTAGTTATAATTAATTGTTATGTAATCACAATGTCGTTGTAGGAGCACTGCAAGGTAAAGGAAGGAATATACTGCATATATCATATTGTGTATAGGCAGACATACATATATACATACATATATACATACTGTATGTATAATGTGTAATACGCACTACATTGCATTAAACCTTTTTGACCCTCTTCAAACTGCTATCTGCTTAGTAGATACTGGTGGTGATTTTCCAGGAACATCAGCCTGGTTGAGTCCTTCTTTCAAATCTCCAACACAGATTCATATTTTTTTGCTGTTGAGTTCTTGTTCCGCCCCCAACACTATGCCGCCCAGGGTAGTGAGTTATATTGCCTGTATCAGAAAACCATTTAGGTTTAACACCACAAAGGCAATTTACTGCTAACTGATCCATGCTTAATATTGTTTTTCTTTTCTCACTTGTTTGCTATTTCTGTTGTGACTGGCATGGTTGTTTCTCTGATTCTCTGGCCATTTTCTATTTTCTCTCCTTCTAGTCATATTTGTCCCTGTAACAGACATGATTTCCCATTTGCTCTCATTTGTTGATAAAATCTGCCCAACACAATAAAGCAACCAGAACCTCCCATACTGTTTGCATAAGCTGTCAGAGCAGGACACAATAAGAAGATAAATAACAGAGTCTGTCCCTTGAATTATCGTCTTATTGTGGAACATAGGCAATATTTAAAGCCACAGCTGTGCTGGGACTATTTGTAGCTGTATTTGTCAGTTTGGTTGAGTTATTTTTGCCATCTGTGCGAGCAGTGTGGTTCCTCCTGACACCAATCACTCAATTTTGGGACCAATTCTGTGTGGTAAAAATCACCCGAGTCAGAACTGTATGTTGTACGGTATTAATGCTGACCTCTTCCACCTTGTTAAAACATCCTGAGAACAGCAGCAACATACAAAGTAAAGATATATACCTGGACTATTTGCAGAAAATTCACTAATGCAGAAAACGTCTCCATCTCTAAGATGTTTTCTATAATAGAGAGGAACAACTTGTGGTGTACTAAGGCACATGTTTTGCCTATTCTTTCAGAATGTTAACAGAAAACAATCTGCGGAAAAAGAGGGAGCAATTGTCTGCTGACCCTTAACCTAAGAGCCTATTACAGACTGTCATAAACTCTCTCTGGCCTCTCTTTAAAGGATAGCGGCTCAGAATGTCTCTGTTGGGGTTTCTGGGAGAATTCAATGAGGGCCACCCAGAGCTTAATGCACAAGAAAGAGATGAATTTTGCATATCCACATGCATTAGGGATCCATTTCTCATTTCATAGCCTCACTAGGCCAGATTAAGTTTAAATCTTCAACCAAAAGAAATCATCCAGAGGCCCATCTATTTTTCTTTTAGATACTTTTTTTTCTGTGAGCTTTTAATGTTTTAGTTATAAACTACAATACTTATTTTCTGCACAAGTAGTTTAACTGGACAGGATTGAGCCTGCGTTTTACTACAGCAACAGACAGAAGTTCTGCTTTTTGAGTGCCAGGTGTCAGAGCTTTTCTGTGCAACCTGTCATTACATATGGCATGATCAACAGACAGTGAAGTGTTGAAATCCTGCATTGTTGCCGTCACGTTTTGCTGGCCAGATTCTCCGGTGGTCCTTGAGTATCTCAAGGAAATTGCCCGGAGAAAAAAAAAAGTGTCACAGATTTTTGGATCAAATGGCATCCTTTTATTTATTTTTTTATTTCCTTTTACAATTTCAAACCAAATCGATTATATGACCTCCTCTCTTTATTTCCTTTCATCACAATATTTGCAATGTTTTTTTTTGTTGGGTTTTTTTTAGCCTTTCCCTGGAAGGACTCTTTAATCTGCTAGACAGCATCGAAGGGCGACTCCACGGCGAGCAGAGCCACGTGTACAGAGATTCCTCAATAGATGGGAGACAACTCAATAGGATTATCAGGTACATCCTTCCTGTCTTTCTTCAAACTTTACAATCTTATCTCCCCCTGTCTAAATGGAAAGCCATGTAAATTTATTTAATAGCTATGGAGCAGTTTGAGCAGATGAGAAAAACATATTATCCTTCTGCTGAGGGCTCTCACATTAGATGAAGTGTCATCACCATCAGGCGTGCGTCTTTATTTCTAAGGGGTTTTTCAAACGCATGGGATTGTTATAGTAACCGCCCCGGCTCGATTGTTATTGGGAGTCATAGAGATAGAGGACAGGGAATGTGTTTCATTAGACCGGGCTTCTTTTTCATAAGGTTTTTATACTTCATAGCATGAATCATTTAGCATAATTGCTGCTCCTGTCGTAAAGCATAAAAGAATAAATGTTGCACCAGAACAGGGCTGTCTAACTACATAGTATGTACTTACCTCCGTCTGTTGTGCGACCATTTGGTGTCACGGCCCTCATAATGTTTAGTCGCGCTGATGTTTATGATTATGCTCGTTTAGGATGTTTGTTTGTCTTCAATGCGTTCTCTGCAATGCTGGCCTGGGGCTCACCTCAGGGTGCCATGGCAATCGCTGACCGCTTTCTATATATCGGGCAGCCTTTGTGACGATGGAGCAGGCTTGATTGATGAGGACCTTGAAGCATGTGGAACTGTCGTCCTTCACGAGCTTCGGAGGTTGTCATGGAGCACGGAGAAGGGCTGCGTGCTACCACAGGAGCTGGTGAGAGCGCATCAGTCTAACACTGAGCCTAATGAAATAAGGTAAGGGTCAGTGGGTGTTTTTTATTATCTTGGTACCTCAAAAGTGATAAATGGCATTTCTGTTTGAATTTTGTTAATTGTTGTAGTTGTGCTTAATTATTTGTCTCATAATGGGTTTTTGTTATTGTTTGAATCATGCATTTACAATGACAATTGCACACAACTGTTTTCAGTTTCTTAGCTTACTAGTTAAAATTTTGACTAATTTCTATTAATAAAATTAATTTAAAAAAAAAAGTTTATAATAGCTTTAAAACAGACACTCAAATCATTATTGCAATAATAGCTGGAGTTCTTTGCTAAAAGCATTCACTCACAGCAGAGGTGAAATCTGCTTTACAGACTGAAAGTTCTTTGTATGTTCTTTTTACTTTTATTTCTCCCTAAGGCAGTTTCTGAGATATCGCATGTTACAGTTTGATTGGTCTTCCTTGTCCACAAACCTGAAAGGTCATCTTTGGTGTCACCTCACACGGCATGGGTGAATGTCATGAGTAAATTAAAATGCCCTATCTGCGACTTCCAGTCCTTTTGGATAATGCGCAGTTATACTCTGAGCCAAATTCATGTTCTGCTTCACTAGCCTATTGATTTCACTGAGACGTTTTCTATTATATACTCCAATTCTAAGAGACACATCCAGCAGCGTCTTTCTCTGGAGATGCCAGTTGGTTGACCTCAACCTACTATCCTCTTTTTCAATCTGAGGTCATATTGGTATCTGTGTCTATTCAGTGTTAACTGGAAATGAATCAATAATCTATAGTTCTGACATTGTTTATAGACGTTATGTTACAAAAAAATAATTCTTTCCACAAAACATCTTCAAAAACATTAACCTATCAAATGTGATATATTTTGCTCTAGTCAAACTTGCTCACATTTATGACTATGCTCATTTTGATCTTTGTTTACATTTTTTTCTAAGGAATGCACCTTTTTTGTTCATTTTTCTTGCTGCCCTACCCCCACCCTAAATATAGCACCAGCCTCCCTCCCAATGCGGCTCGGCTGTGGGATCGCTGGTTCAAGCACGCCCTTGTGCTCAAGGAGAGCCGTGTCCTCAGCGCTGAGCGCCTGGTCCAACTGTTTACGCCGCTTCTGCTGGAGCATGATGCCGACTACAGCCAGCAGGTAGCGTCAAAGACACGCACACACACTCTCTCATAGGGCACACAGAGTCATGCAGTAATAACACATCCACCTATTTTTGACACGCTGACATGGTTTATAATACTTCTGTTTCTTTTTTGTTTTTTCTTGCCCTTGGAAGAAAGTCTTTTGTTTTCCTGCTCATGAGATTCTTTAATGGAGGGTCTTTTCATACAGCAGTAATTACAAATTACTGCTTTTAATCCATGCTTAAAAGCAAGCATTAAAATACTTGCTTTTAATTAAGATTTTACTCATCAGCTCAATCAGTTCTTTAAAAATCTACTCTTTAAAAACTTTCTCTTCTTTTTTATTGTTTAACATTTACCTCACACTCATGTTGCCAAAGTATTCATACAATGCTTTCACATTTTGTCACATTAAAACCACTGATTGCAGTGTATTTAAAAATGGATTTTTGTGATAGACTAATGTAAATTAGTTCAAGACTGTAACCTGGAAAGAAAAACAACACTTAAAAAAAAATTGTAAAACATGTTTTCAGTGACAGCATGTTGCTACCTCCCTTTGTGCTTTTCCACCAAAATATTAATGTTTGGTCTCATCTGTGGAGAACCTTCTTTCATTAGTTTGCTGTACAAATACGGAAAGGTTTCAAGGGGTGTGAAAACTTTTATAATCAACTAGAGATTGTTTACGATTACTGTCCAGCTATGGACCCTTGTGTTTTTCTAATTTGTTTTGACTCATGTTACTGGGATTATTGTGGCTTCAATTTGTTGCTGCGGTACACCCGACTCATTGAAAGAGGCAAAGAGGAAGGCTGTAGAGCCTCTTGAAAATATGAACTCACAAAAGAAAGAACGGTACAGCCATCTACATCATTGTATCCAAGTGCATCAGAAAGAGACTGAGTGAAATCTTTCTCTTCCTTTATTGCTTTGAGACTCGCTCCATCTATTCCTCCCTCCTGCCCTCCACTCCCCCCATCTCTCCCTTTATGTCCCTCTGTCCTCCCGTACAACCGCTCACTCTCTGCACATGGGCTCAGACAGACATTTCCATTCACGTCCTGCCACGCAGCCTGGCTACTCTAACAAATGGGAGCATGCAGCTCACATGCACACACTCAAAGTGGCCCTTTGAATATTCAAGTGCTAACAGTTGCATTCATTGATATTTAAAATGCAGTGGATGAGCGAAAGCCCTCAACTCATGGTACATTTGACTAAATAAAAAAAAAAAGGAATTTTAGGGACAAGGATTAAGTCAGATTGGCATGTGTTTGTATCTTTCTCTCCTCTGAAAAAAATGAAAGCGTTCGCATTGTTGATCTTTTCTGTGACCTACTGATAACAAATTACAATGCACTTAAATTTTGTCACTGTCAAAATTCTCCTTCATATTAGCGTTCATTTAAAGTTCCAAATGGCTGTCCAAGGCTGAGAGGCAGCCTTTGATCACAAAAGAGAGATCATGATGGCAGGATTTGATTTGGGTGTGGAGAAAGGAAATCTGTGTGTGGCATCTCCCTGAACAGCTTCTCTTAATTGTGTATCCTCATCACCACAGAGATAAAAATGAGCTGAAGAGGCGGGAAGAGAGTAGTTTGTCTCGATCCTCTCAACCAAGAGGAAAGATATCTGAGACGTGTTGCACATTAACGGCAGGGTGATTGCATTCTTTAGAAAATTCTCTAATCTCATGGATGAGAAAAGAGAGAGTGAGAAAAGCTAAAGTGATTGAAGGGGAGAGCAGGCGCAACGGCGTGAGAAATAATCTTTTTTCTTTTTTTTTTTTTAAACGAGTGAGAGACTTTAAGGTTATTGGATGTTGGTGTACGAACACACATTACGGCTGCACCTCGGCGTGAGCAGCCATGGCCAAAGTTCAATTTGACGCTTCCTTCACAAAATGAGAACAATTAAGAAGGTGGTTTTAATTTGTGCTGTGCGCAGGCCAAAGTGTTGCTGAGGGCACTTCTCTCCCGGTCCAGTGAGGAGGGCCCCTCAACAGAGGATGAGAGTGACTCTTTTTCTTTGTGCAATAATTCCTCTGCCTTGGCCGACGCAGACGTGGAGCCCTCCCAATCGGTATGCCCGCAGCACATCCAAGGTAACTGCAGATATTTATATCGCACATCATGCTTACATTGAGAGCTCTAATAAAGTTGTGTGCAAAAAATAATACACTTAATACAAAAACAAATCTGAGCTTTTAATTAATTTTAATACCTCCTAGCATGTGATCAGATCTCTATCTGATTACATACTAATTAAACCGAGAATTGAGTTCTGCTTTTTATGACACTGAGAACTGACTGTGTCTTCCTTTCTACAAATTTCTCTCTAGAAACTAATAAATAAAAATAAAGAAAAAATATATATTTTTCAACCTTCCCACGGTAAGCAGTCATCAGTTATCAATAAGAGAAGCAGAGGTGATGTCCCATTGGGTGTGATAGAGGGTATTTTCTTTCAAATTTATTTATAGATAGACAATATAGACTAAAGATTTGTTTACTATATTTTGTAATTTCTATGAGATTAATAAAAAAGAGATGATATAATTATTTAAGAAATTATCCAAGTTTTTCTGGCAATATATGTAGCATTCACTCACTAAAAAATAGTCACACATTATTTAATAGCCTTCTTCAGTGCACTTATTCTGTAAACAGCAGACAAAATGCATTTAGTCATATTTTCAAAAATATTATTTATTGGAATTAAGTGGAAAAATTAACTTGACAGTAGAAGCACACATCTTAACTTGCAAAATCCATTACTTCACAATAAATCTTAATTTTATTTTTTTATTATTTTATTTTACCAGGTAGTTACCATTTAGTAAGGTAAGATTATTGCAGTGTTTTAAACTGACTTCAGCTTATGCTAATACTTGACAGTCTGTGTTACTTTTGCTGCCTGATTTTGAAAGGCTTTTTCAATATCATTTTCAAACACAGCATGTTCCATGACAATTGAGACTAAAGTTTAAAAAGATCAAATAGAGCAATGTTGTTGTCCTTGGTTCATCCTTCCTGTTAACGGTTGAAATACTTTTTTTTTTTTTTTCTGTGTCTATCATGTTTGGAATCCAGGATTTTCCATTATAGATGGAGGTCAAAAGCTTAAAATAAAATGGCACAGTGTTCTACTTTCTCCAGGTGTTCTGTTATCTGCTGAAAGTCTTAATTTTGCTTGCCATGTCACATCCTCCACAAACCTCAGACATGATTTGACATGTCATAGAAAATAGTTTGCTTTTAAATATGTCTGATTTTGCTGACTTCAGTGATGCTGCAAAAAGCGACAGTTAAGTACTGTTCTCTGAGTAACAGAATCTACACTAAAGAGTGTTATGGTTAGCATGAGGTGGAAGCACTCGTGTATAATGCATTCATCGGAAAAAGGATTGGATTTTTGAGTTTGCGACCAGCCCACCGCTGGTCAAGGCCAATCAAGCTGGAAATCGCTCAATTCTGGTTCTACAGACAGTTTCTTTGTTCATCTTCATAGATGTAAACACTATTCATTGCTATTTTACTTTTGTTTTTTGAGTCTTTTATGCAAACATGTATGTTCTTTTGTGGAAAACATGTTTGCACAGAACATGTTATTTACTTTGCCAGTTTTTATGCAGTCTTTCATTCAGATATAAAGAAGGACCCCCTTACCAATTTCTGTCCAAGACTCACTTTCTCCCTCACGTTGCTTCTCAGTGTGTGCTTTCCTTTCTTACAGAACTACAAAGCACTGAAGAGGACAGCCAGGACAAAAGCCTGGTGGAAAGTGGTCCTATTAGAGGTAAAAAGGCATTGCTGGTGCCTCAGCATTCATACTGTCCTTATGTTGTGGTTTGTTTTTCTTCCCACTGCAGTGAATAATGGGCTCCTTTACACAATGGCTGAGGCAGGATGATCAAGGTGAATCCAGGGTCAAAGTCCCACCTGAAGAGCCATGCTAGTTCCCTCTAATTATCTCCCAAGAAAACCCTAGCAGTGTTTCCAGCCTGGTCCGACGAATTCTGGCAGGACTTATAATTCACTGGCCCGGCATAATGCGGTTTCCTTTAATTGTCAGGGTGCCAGTATAGGCAGCGCAGAAGATCTGTCATCGGTTCTCATTATCTTCTAAACAATGCTCTGGCAGGGCTGGACTTGAAAAACTACTAGATGTGACGGCATCCTGGAAGCAGTCGGTGTGCCCATCCCTCAGCTCACCTCTGAAATGTAAAGCCATTCCCACATTACCCGTGGCTGTCCAACTGGGCTTTTCATGTCTCCGCATCCCTAAGGTGCACAGCCTGCAAAATGAGTCCAGTTTGATATTGTACACCTAATCAAAAGAGCTATAACCAGCTTAAAAAAAAAAAAAAAACATTACTAAAGATTTTGCAAGGAAATATTTTGCTTTCCTGAGCAACATCAGTGTCGCAATCAAATACCATGACCTTGGAACTGAGAGTAATTGCTCAGAGATGTGGCCTGCAGCCTTAGTGGTAGATGTAAAAACAGAGGCTGTGTAAAGAGCTCTGGGAGCTTGCTATCCAATGTCAACACTTTCAGCAAAAAAAAATATTTACCAACTGAATAATTACTTTTAAAACTAGTTATATAGATAGATTTGGTCACAAGAGATCACAATATTCTTGATTTCAAATGTGGAAATAATTTTTACCTACATGGCCTTCTTCTGTTTTATTTAATAATATAGTCTCGGGAAACATCCCAACTATACATTGTCTTGAAAAGTATTCACACCTTCTAAAAAAAGTGCTGGTGTAGAATGTTTCTTACTTTCCATCATGTTAGATGCTTAAACTGAAACATATTTCACTGGAGTTTTATGTGGTACACCAACACAATGTTCTACATAATTGTGTAGTAAAGAAGTTATGAAACATGAATTTCATAATTTTATATAAACTAAATTTTGAAAAATTGCCATGCATTTAGATTTAGCCTTCCAGAGGCTATATCTAGAATTATCTTTTCAAACATTTCTCTATCAGCTTTGCTCATCTTCAGATTTTTGCTCCTCATATTTTTATGCAAAAATAACTCAGGCTACATCAGATTAGATAGAGAGTGTCTGTGAACATTTCCAGGCCAATATACTCAATTGTATTTAAGTCTCTACTTTGACTAGGTCATTCTAACACACCAATATGCTTTGATCTAAAACATTCCATTGCAGCTCCGGCTGTTTGTTGAGGGTCAGTGTCCTGTTGGAAATTAAAGTTCTGGCCAAGTTTTATTTATTTATTAATTAAGTTTATTTCAGGACAGACGCACAATAAAAAAACTGAATACCCCTGTATCATGGAACTTATAGCATCAGTTAATTTGCCAGACTTGTCCCTGGATGGGCTTTTATAAACAGTATATCTAACATATGTTAGATATACTGTCTTATAAGATTTGAAATAAGACAAAAAGAGTAAAATAATTAAAAGCGATAACATAAGCAATCACACAGAATAAACAGAGTTTCAAGCCATTTCCAGCTTTTAGGATTTTCCCATATTCATCTTAATCCGACTCGTCAAGTCTGACCAACTTCCCTGTTCCTGCCGAAGAGAAGCCTCTACATAGCATTGTGCTGCCACTACCAAGACATTTTGGGCTTTTCCTGTGTTTGCTTGTTTTTTTCCCTCCTAGCCAGTGTGAGAAACACCAAATCATTTGAGTGAATGATTAATAATCTTTAAATTCTAAATAGTATAAACTTCTCTAGAGCTATTCTAGTCATTCTGAAGTTTGAATAGTGCTTTTACACTTATCAATTTCCATCATCCAATCTAACTCACAACGTTTTAACTGTCATAAACCGATATGCAAATGGTAGACAACTTTGGATTTAGTTCATGTGACAGGGGAGACTGGAATCACAATTCTGCTCTAGTTTTTGATGGTCCATCATCTAGAAATCCAACTAAAATACATTGAAGTTTATGACAAATTTGTCTTTTTTTTCTCCCCAATAAACACCATGTCTTCCCCTTAGATATTGTTTCCCAATATATTGTTTCACAGTAACTTGTATGTCACTCCCAGTTCAGCAGTGAATCAAAAAACTAAATTCAGCACGTCGCCTCATCAAACACTAAAATCTTTGAAAGTCAAAAACCCGGCCTTTTAAGCTAATAATTGACCATGACTTTGTATTTGTATGTGTTTGTGTCTGTGTGTGTGCCCCCCTGAGCAGAGACAAAAGCATATCAGTTACTTAAACAGTCAGCCATGCAGAAAAGACTGTCGAGTTCTGAAGAGGAGGAGGAGGAGGAAAGCAGCTTTTCGGGTGAGCGACTGGAACTTGATCATTTAGAATCTTGACGTCTTTTGTTTCTTCATTTGTGCATATTAAGGGAGCCCACGACTAGTTTTGAGCTTCCTTATAAGTATGAATGCAAGTATGGATGGTGAATTAGCCTGTGATGAGATCAATCAGGAATCAAATGGTTTTATCTGAGCTTGTTTGCTCTTTTAAGGAATAAATCATGGCCATGAAGAGGACCTGGGGAGGGCCAAACGCTCCTCACATCAAGACCCTTACCCTCGGTAAGAACATTGTTGTTATTCAACGGGCCACAGGAAATGGGCCACCAGACACCAAAGTGGTTGATGTACATTTGCATGGCGGCTCTCATAATTCCCTGTTCATTTCCATAAGATCAAGGGGGCACCACCCATTAACTCGCTTACAAAGACAAAAGGCCCCTAAAGCCCCTCTTACTCACTGTTAGCCAGGTTCAACCAGAGTTCCAGGATTCAAAAGCAAATCAGCTGCCTCGAAAAATAAATTGGAGCCATAATACTACTGTTTTCAGCCTTGTTGTCAGAATGCAAACAGATCATGTCAAGAACAGAATCACCGAAAACTGTTTCAGAAGAAGGGGACTCGAGAGTCGATAAGGACAAATGTCCTCTCATTTGTCACCCTCCAAACATTATTTACCGTCTAATGATAACTGGCTCGGCAGAAGCTCACACCGTCTCGGTTACATTTGAATATCAACACAACTTCATCAAATCTGCAATCGCTTTTTAGGTCCTCAGAGCGCCTCTTCACCACAGACCCATTTGGGCTTTAGTAATGGCTGGGTAAACGTTATGAGGAATAATCTTCTCTGATTTCATGTGATTACTGGGCAACACGCTGACACGAGGGCTGAAGTCTGTATCTCCCTGTCAAACAAGCGCTCCAGTCTGCCTATTAGTCCATGGAAGGGTCTAATGGCCTGGCTCTATTGTGGTCCTCCTCACTCTTGCCCCTGCCAGCTCCACTGACCAATGTATTTAATAAACATGAGCCAATTTTGGCAAAAGAAAAAAAAAAAAAAGCCCTTCTCAGGTGGTGTCTGCCTCCCAGTCAGGGATGTGCATGTGGAATCCGCAAAGTGTGTGATTAAACAAAATTTGCTGGGCAAAATGCGGACATCCCAAATGCAACGATGAGACATAAGGTGTGTGTGTAAGTAAAATAAGACAAATGGGTAGTTAGGGATGTCTGACACTGTAATCTCTCTCAGTTGGGAGAGACATCCTAATCTTCCCCTTGTCATAGCAGATATCTCTAATTTTTCCGTTGTGCTCTGATTTAAGCATTCCCCTTACCGCACCTACTTTTGCAGTTTATTGCTCCCACAAGTGGTCTGGAAGCCTCGCACTTCAACAGAAGCACAACACTGCAGCTTTTCTCCTTCTCTCTGTCTTTCTTGCCCCTTCCTCATCCCTCTTTGCCTTTTCCTCTCTGTCATCCTGTGTTTTCCTCTCCCTCCTTTCCATCCCGCTTGTTAATTATTTGCTTTATTTTGTCAGCGAGCTGATGAGTGACTTCAAAAGGAGGACGGAGCTGGACTCAAAATATACAAAAATGGCTCCGTCTCTGTTGTCTTAGACAATAATTATGATTTGCCTGTTAAGCCTGGGACTACAGCAGAGGGATTGTAGTTTAAAGCACAGGCTTTGGTACAAAAATGCATTTATAGCCCTTTGTGAAGCTCCTCATTATGTGTGGGCTCGATTCATTAAGTAATTGGTTTGCAGTTGTTTACATGAGTATTAAGGCCTTCTATTCAGGGCCTTTGAGAGATACATTGTGCAAATGTTGCATGTTATGAATGCAGAATGAGAGGCGGGGGGCCAGTGCTATTGGCCAAACACTGCTCCCAGCTGAAAAGCGAGAGAAAAGCTCTGGGTGCTGCTTTGCATAGTAATGACTCGGCCTTAATAAGCTTTACAGATTAAAAACATGCAGTCTATACAAGATGCAAGGAGATACTCTTAACACATTTATATGCGCTCATTTCTCTATTATGGAGTTGGAGAGATTTGGAGTCTTTCTTTTCCCCCCTCTGCTTTGCTTTCTCCCACACAGCGTTTTTCAGTCTGATACTTTTATGGACTGTTCTGTTTATTGTGTTATAACTTGCAGGGAGGCGGCTGATCTGCAACATTTATTACAGATTTTTTTCCCCCCATTGTAAATCTTTTGCAGTCAAATCACTTTGTGGTTGAGTGGGGATGAAAAGAATAATGCACGAAGGAGTGAGTCTTAATAAGCAGCTGCACTCCATGTAAAGACCACTTGTTCCTCTTTGTATGCGAGTGCATGCCGCTGCTTCCTCTTGTGGAGGGAATAATCTTGCTTTTCTCTTCTGCAGGCATTTTTAGATGCCACTCCCTTTTTATTTTTCAGTTCAGGTTTTTAACTTACCATTTTAACCCACCCACCCTTTTCCACCCGGAAAAAAATCCCCAAAAAAACATCCTCAACGCACGTGCAGGCGGACAAAACAAAAGGGCGCAGCCGTCCAACAGGATAATAAGTGCCGTGCCTAGAGCCTGCTTGACAAAAACCTTGACTCAACCATTAGTGGTTTACAGCTTTGGTTTGGACAACAGGATGTGCTCAAGCATTCGACCTCAAATCACTATGTGTCAAAATCAGAAGCTCTATCTGTCTCCTTTTAGACCCCTCCCCTCTGCCTCGCGTGAGGTGGGGGCTGCGTTTGCAGCATTGACGATTCACCTAAAAGACAGATGGAGGGGGACGTGAGCTGAGAGAGGGGAGGGAAAAGGAAGAAAAATAAAAACGAGAACAGGAGTGGGGATGGAGTGGTCTTTCTGCTTCAAAATCCAACAGTGAGCTAAGTCAAACAACAAAAGAGAAAAGCAATGTAGCACATCAGAAGGATTATTTTTCTTTTCTTCTCTGAATGTTTCATTGTGGAAGAACACTTCATAGAAAAATAAATAAATTACAAATTGTTTTCTGGTTTTTACACCAAACATTGTCGGATTTGCCACTTTCAGCTTAGGCAATAAGAGAAGCCCAGGGATGCACCAATCACCTGAAATGAGATCAGAATGGGCCAATTTTCCCCTTATTTTCTTCGATTAGCATATTAGACTCTCCAGAATAAATATTTCATTTCACTTTCATTGATTATATATAAACTAAGAACTTTTAACACAATAACCAATGACAAGGAATTTTGACTCATGGAACAACAGTTAGGCTAATACTTTTATCCAAAATATTGTACCACAATTTATTTCAGGATTGGTTTTACATTTGGAATTGACAGGTCAGACCTCATAGAAATCTGATATCACTCACACCTGATAACCATTAACCCTTACTCCCTAAAATAACTAAGAAGAAAGGCAGCATTTAGAAAGTCTGACCAGTGGAGGTCACTGTACTACACTTCCTTTTTAGGATTTAGCATATTGTGCAATTATAAAACATTTAATTCTAATTTTGACACTCTCTGTTTTTGAATACTTCTGAATATTTATATCGGTGAGTTCAGACCTTGGAAGAAACAAGCCCCCAAAAGCACAAAATATACTATAATAGAAAGGCTAGAGTAATAGTCTGTAATAAAAGATCCTCTTTTCTAAAGTGTAGCTACAGAAACAGCCAATCAATTTCTGCCACCTCTTGTCTGGGCTATAAAGCAACAGAAGCGGCATGAATGTGCTGCCCTTCATCCAGCCTTTACACCGTCAGTCTCCACTAGACCGCCACCAGTCAGTGGGAGAGCGTGTTGTGTTGAAATCAGTGGCCCAGATACCTCTCACGTTGAGCTGCAGTACTTGCTCGCTGCCAGCAGAGAGCACTCACACGTTGGAGAGCATCCACTCATGCTGCACTCACAGGCGTCTCTCACTGTTTGCCCCCACTGAGGGGCTACATCCTGCTACCATTCAGGCCCGTTAGAGCACATCTAAGCGGAGCCTAAACAATGTTTTTGCAGGGTCATAGCTGGGATGGGAGTAGGAGTTGATGGGAATGATGAGGTGATGGGTCTCCCTTTACCTTTAGACAAGCACAGCCGAGCAAAAAGTGCTATTGTGCTATTAGCATTTGTGCGTGGGCGACAGGGGCTTAAAAAAAAAAAGAACTATGATAAATAAAAGCAGGTTGTAGCTGTCGGCAAGGCAGTAATAAATGCTTGGTAAGCATTATTATTAAGCATTATTTTCCTTGATAGTCCTGCTTTTTCCTGGTGAGACTCCTGGTTAAAATGAAGAATGCATCTTTGTGACTCTTGGACACTCGTCTTATGAATTTGCTTGATTTGCAGTTAAAGATTTTTATTTTGTGTATTTGAGTATAGATATTAACTCACCTCATATACAAATTGTTTTTGCACTTGTTTAAACATACTGTTATGTGCATTAGTCTGAACACTTTTGTTGTAATTTGTCATTATTAATATAATTGAGTACTGTCTTAAGTTGCTTTTGATGCTGCTTGCAAATGTTAGATCAAATGAGAAATGGATCCCAAGTTGAGAAATAGGTCAGTTTGTTTAGAGAGTTGTAAGTTGCTGCAATATTCTTAAAGTAGCATTGTTTCTTTCACTAACAAATATTGTGGAATAGGTGACAAGGACTGTTTATTAATGTTAATATTTGTATATTTTTTTTACTATATCTCAGTGCATTTCTGACCTGAAACAGATATACACTACTTTATAGCAATCACCAAAGGCGTCTAATATTTTCATGATATTAAGATTAGCTAATTTTAAGCTATAACTATAGCTATAAGCCATAACTTTTCAAGAACTATATTATAAAGTGACAAATAGAATGTGGTGGAATTTGAGAAAACGTTTAGTAAATGTAAGCTGCTTTAACCCTCTCCAGGCAGGTGTTGCAGATTTGCAATAATTTGAAAAGACTGGCTAAGTTAAGGGCATCTTGGTACTTTCCAAAATTAAACACTACACAAAAGCTGGATAATTATTCAGGCTATCTGCTCCAGTAGCCAGCTTGCAATTGGCTGTCTAAGTGATTTACATCATGTAAAAGAAGGAAATATAGTTTTAACATCAACTTCATAAAAGAGATGGGTTACCCTACTTTAGTTTCACATTTCTTTTCATGCTGTGTTTTTTTTTCAAATCAACTGAATTCATCTTCTTGTTTTTGAGGGACATGTGTATAGAGTTTTTTCATTTTATTTATCTATTATTTTCAGCTGACCAGCAGCATGCAGCAATATATGCAGCTTTACTCTGAGAAATACAGCTGGGAAAAACCCCCTCCAAATTGTCTGGCATCTATTTAAAAGGGACTTTGAAAGTTTGGAAAGGTTTGACAGAAAATTTACACAAAAAAACAACAACTTTAAAACCTTGTTTTACCAAATACTGGTAATGGACCCATGCGTACTAGTAAAACATCAATTACCCTAAAGCAAAGTGAGAACTAAAAATATGTTTCCTCAAGATTAGGAAAAACAATGTCTGTGGGGTCAGTTTGGTTTTAAAGATTATTGGGAACAACTGTTGCAAATTGCAAACCCCATATAAAGTGAACAGATACAACAATAGGGGGAAAATACATTACAACTGTAATTTGCATCATTTCACACATAATGTTCACCTCTGTCTATCTGCCCTGTGAAACACATGCCAGCCAGTTCTTACATATTCAGATCACTGCCTCATTTAAAGGAAATTCGGGAAAAGATGAACTGTGATAAATGTTTGTGGAGACTGAATTTTCAGGTCCGTGGGGTCAGATCCAGGCTTGGTTCATTGTGGTAATGATTCTGTCTTAAAATCAATACTGCACCTCACTGAAGTGGCATTGTTGATGGGCCGTTCCCGTTCTATGGGGGGAAGTTCGAGAAAAGAAATGCGCAATTTGCTCTGTGAAACGGCTATTACTGCGGCAGAGGAGAGGAAGTAATTTCACCGATTATTGCTGTGTTTTTGCTGCATCGTGGTCCGCTTTGGATCCTCTATAACACAGCTTTAAATGACTATACTTCCATTGGTGTTTTTGTTAAGCGTTCCTATTTGAACTCATCTGTTGTTCAGCGTGAAAATATGAACACGACTGTTGTGAGAGTTTCTCCTACTTTGCAGGAACTCATTATCTTTATGCTGTAGCAAAGTCGCAAAACCTGTTGCGTAAACATTTTCAGATTTACTTACTCAAAGGGAAGACTATTCATGTGTGTGTTCAAGTACCAACCTTTTAAAAATTTGCAGCTACAAAAATATTAAAATCTTGATAGTGTTGGCTTGCCAATGACAGCAAGGTATGAGAGACATGTCTACAGCTTAGTTGACAGCAAATAGGCTAACTGAGCATATACTCCAGCTAAGCCACCTAATATTAACTTGTTACACTTTTGTCACTCTTATCAAGAGCAGAACAGGAAATATGCCAAATATTCTACTAACACTGCTACATTCAGGAATTATTTAATATTTGTGCTGAGCATTTTTCATTTTCAAAATTTCTGTCATGACCCATTGTGGACATTTTACCCATTTCTTTTGCTAGTATTTTTAAACTTTCACATTTTTTGTATACTTCAGTATATTGTCTGAACAAATTTATGAACTATTCATTTATTAGGAAGCACTATTGTCATATAAATTTGCAGGTTATATTGTGATGATTGTTTTTGCTCCATGATACATAGTTTCTAACACAAAAGCAGTCTAACACAAAAGTTCATTGTATTCCCTCCTTTCCTCTCAAGTCTTGCAAAGCACCAATGTATAGTTTTAAGCATGAACAACTGGAGCACAGCCAAGGTCATTTACTCCTCATGCTCGTTCAGTCATATGTGCCAAGATTTAACTGAGGAGATGAGGGTGATTGAGAGGACGACAGTCAAAGAGGTCATGGGTCTGTAGTGATGCAAATGGAAGAAATCATAGCACACCTCTTTTTTTGTAGTGCAGCAAAACAAACTGCATTATTTCTTACTTTCTTCAAGAAAAGCATCAGCACGTGTGTGAAATAGATGACGGAAAAGCCATGTGGATCTGAACGCTAACCTGGGAGATGATGGGAATATGTTGTAGGGTTTTGAATAGGCTCTGTCATGATGTAAATTAAAGAGGACGCCTTTAAAAGTGGAGGGGGTGGCCTTATTGCATATGCATCGAGGTAGATCAAAGCCTTTTCGGAGGTCACACATTTACATAGCGATATCACTGGAGCTATGGGAACCTGGCAACCCGGTCTTTGGGCTATTTTTGAATAAAGAGGATCTTGTGGAAGTCTTTTGCTGTCAACAAACTTCCTCCTGCTTTAGTGCCTGAGTATAGCTAAACCTTATTCACTTCTGTGTATTGATTTGTGTCTTTTTATTCTCCAAGATTCTGAGTGATTTTGGATTACATATTTTATATTTGAAGTATAAACTTGCAGTTTACTTTTTAATGTACTATTTGCACAATCACTGATTTTGGTGTAAGTTTTATATTTGCATTTTTTTTTTGTGAATTTTTTTTTTAACTTTTACTTGTCTACTAACCAACTCTGTATTTCCAGGAAAGGAAGTTCAAAGGTTTATTCTGCTTTGCAAACAAAAGGTGAGTGTAGACGCTGGTGTCTAACATAATATATGTTAATTACACCAAACAGACCACCATGAAAAAATTGCCTGTTAGCATAGTGGAAATTATTGTAAAATTGGAGCTTTACCAAAAACTCTCAACCGTTTGATTAAAATGTTCTGTGATTGCAGCTGAGTCTTTTGAAGAAAAAAAAAAAAAAAGATCTTGAAGCCAAATCTAGTTCGCTGAAAGCTTCTTTTGAAGCCACTTCATTCAGATGATAAACAACTAAAACGACCTGTTAGGGGGAAGATTCTGCTTCTATTTTTATATATATGTATATTATGAAACTTTTTTTATCCTTTTTTATTTTGTCACTACTAATAAGGGAGAACGTTTTTGGCTCTTTTGTGTAACAGATGGGTAAAAAATAAAGGTGTTTCTGCCAAAACACCACCAAAAGCTTTTTCTGCTCTTCATTATCTTTATGTTAAAAGTGAAACTGTTTTTAATTTTTTCTGCATGTTAAATAGGGCCCTCTTCATATTGTCTTTGTTGTTTTTGCAGGAGGTTTTGCTTTAATTATGTGATTTTGTGTTTTGTAAAGATTTTTGGCAGGATTCTGATGACAGCGACTTCGAGATTGAAGCAGCCCTTCGTCCTCCGACTTTCAGCGCAAACAGTGATGGCACCGATGACTTTTATCATTGATATTTCTGCAATGCTCCATATTGTATCATTGTGAGACATGTGGCAGATTGACTCTTGGTTATTCACCCCCTGACCATACTTTTATTGGTCTGCATTCTAAATCATATGCACAGCATATTGTTAAAACAAATAATAAAGTTGACAACTCTCACGCTGGATAAAGTATGTGAAGAGTTGTCCAACGCTCTGATGTTAACCCCGCTTCAGTCTCTTTATCTGAACAACTCTCCCGGCTCATAATAACAGCTCGAAATAGATTAAACTGATCTTTTAAAGCGATTTGTTTGCACTGGGCTGAAAATCCTGCATTTCGAATGCTGCAAGCATCTCAGAGTGCTCTACTTGCAGCAAGCTGGAGTGTAGTGATGTGAGTCACCTGTGAAACGACAAAGCACGATGGCCACTCTGCTCGCTCCGGTGTGACCCGTGAACCCGCTGAAGAGGCTCATCTCTCAGGGCACAGAGTGTAGTAGCGCTTGCAAACTCAGAACATTTAGAGACCCCAACAAAATGCTCTAAACATTTTCTTAGGGCCAGAACAGATTTGTGAACTGAAAGTACAAAGATATGGTTAAAATCTCTCTCTTTTAGTGTGCTAATCACTCATGAGTAGCTGAAATTATGCTTATATTGCAAAATAGTCTTCTGTAATTTATGATTTTCCTGCACATTGATCATCCTGTGTCTATTATTAACTGTGTGGGAGGCTTCATTCCAAGGTTTACATTTATAGTTCATTATTTCTGCCGCGTAAAATTTCCAAGCTGAGATGTGGTAAAAGCCCCCTGGCACATAGTGTCAGCAGGATTCCATTAGTCAGCTTTTGGTGACTTTATATGCCTGAACCTTTCAAAGTAGGACTCCACATTCATTACCAATAATGGCTTCAGTCGGCCCTGACCCAGCACAGGAAAGGGAATGGGGCAGAGCAATTTACAGTTTGCTAAAAGGTTCCCTAACATAATATCCAGTTAAGGAGCATGTCAACAGATACTTGTGTGCGACTGATGGCTCATGGTGAAAGTGGAGTTATATTGTACTAATGTGTACTAACAGGAATATTTTTTATGAAGATCTTCTTTGAGTCTGTGCCACTGAGACAATTGGGATGCTATTCATATCATTTCTTTCGCTTTGTTATTGGCTTAAGTACGTGTCGCAGTTACAAATGGGATTTCAGACTCAGGTTGTCAATGGATGGAGCTTGTCTCTTATTCCTGTTTGGTTTTATCAAGGCAGCTCATCTTTTTCATTGACATTTTTGCCTACATTACCACTGTGAGGTTTACATATATTCATTGTTGCCATTAATGCCTTTAAGGTGGGAACTTAAATAATTTGAACTGTCCTTTTATAAGGTGCAATATTGTAACATAATATTCCTTCAGTTAATTTAAAACTATCAATTAACTGAATTCCAAATAAACTCAAGCACAGTCTTGAGTTTATTTGGAATTACACCTAAACTTGTGTCAAAATTATAAAGACAAGCTCAATATGCAGACACCCCCGTGATGTTTTGATAAATGCTTCTGAGAAAATTACATTGAGACACACTTTTCATAGTGATCAGAGAGCTTCTGGGGTCATTCTGACTGGATGTTTGCCTATTTTCATAATTATAAATAGTATAGCCCATTAAAACTGGTTCCTGTCCAGACACATACCGAGCATTAAAACATAGTTCATACATTTAAGTCTTGTTCAGGTTGAGGCCAAACAAGAAGCTTAATGTTTAAAACAAAATTAGTTTTGATAAATATTTGAGATAATTTTTCCATTGGAACATCCACTTCTGTCCATGATTAATTCATACAACCCAAACAGATGTAGGGAAAAAAAAGTTATCAAAATGCTCTTAATCCAGCAGCTGTATAGAAAAACTTGGATAAAATTGGTTGTTGTAGCAGTGCAGTGATCCCAAACAAACCGATAAACTGGTGTTGGAATTGAATAACGCAAACTGAAAATAGTTTGTGAAATAACCTTGACTTCAAATCAATAAAAAAAAATCAAAGAACTAAATCTAAAAGCCTTTTGAACCAAAGGCTACATAAATGTGTTATTGTTCCAAAATGAAAAAAAAAATACTGAAAGGCATTCTTAAAAGCCAACGTCATGCCAATACATGTAGGCATGACGTTCATGCCTACATTGAGCATAGAGTAACTGATTGGCACGGTATACTGATTTTTTTTTTTTTTTTTTATTGCAGAAATGTTTTGATAAAAATTGTTAATTTTTAAGAGTGCCAGAATTTCAAAAACTCTATTTTTTACAGATACATACTGTACATCTGTTTATTGAAACAAATAAGGTGGAGAGCAAGGAAAGATGTTTTGAATGAGTCAATCTTTCTTGTAACCAACGACATACCCAAAGCAGTTGTTTCTGGGTTCATGCACATAAAGCAAATGGTGAATAAGAACTGTGTCTCCACATTGGTGAAATGTGTGCTTGTAAAAATGTGTGATTCGTATCTTTCGAGACTTTGCTAAAATATGTAAATAGAAACAAGGGCAGTTCGGCACTATGATTGTTCCCTCACTCAAATATTTAGGATTTGAATTATTGCTTTAGAGAAATACAAATATATTCACATAATGGTCCAAAAAATTTTTTAAAAAAAGTTAAGTTATCTGTTAAGTTATCTCCTCTGTCTTTCAGATAAACCTCCAAATTACCATTGATAAAGGAAACATGTATCGCTAGGAAAAATAAAATTGTGTAAATCTGAAGCTGTTTGATGGTGTAGTTACACCTACTGTTATGTGTGGGAACCAGAACATGTTTTCTTAATATAAATGTTTTAGTATTATTTTAAACATTTCAATGCTGACATATAATATTATAACATATGGGCATAATAACTTTTAATTTTGTATTAGCCTTCAAAAGAATGATTGACTGCAGGTGGGGAAGGCGAAACCTGGATGTATGTGACCACTGGCTGTTTTAATTCGTGTTATGTTTGAAAAGTTATTTTTACAAGAAAAGCAGAAAAATTAGCTGTTGGTTTCAGGTTAACTGTAAAATTTGCTTTGTAATCGACATGAAATTGGTGTTATGTGAGAATATGGTAGTTCCAAAGGTTTGGAAGTCTTAGACTCATGTGCTAATTGAATGTAAAAGTGCAGTAACTACATCAGTGTTTTACCCAGACTTTAAATTAGTACTTTTAGTGCAGTTTTATTGCATTTTTAATTGTTAGTTAAAAATGCCATAAACCATTTTTTCAACATGAATTGAAATCTAAATTAAAATGTAAATTTTAATGTTTTCCTCATTCATTCAGCTAAATGAATAGTTGCATTTTTAGCATTTGAGCTTTTTGTTCATTCAGATCCATCTATTTTACTTAATAGATTATGTTCATATGCATGTATGTAATAATAATTTACTTGATTTAAACCTCATTATAAAAATAAATATAGTAAAGAACTGCTTCCCAGAGGACTCATGAGTTGTAGATATTTTTGTTCTCTTTATTAAATGAAACAATTTTCTGGATGAACATGTCTGAAATGAGCATCTCAATTTCCATGCCATTTCAGATTAAAGCCAATTATGAGAAGTGGTCAGCTCATCATATCTAATTTCTTTGTTAGAACTCTGCAATTTGAATTAAATGCTTCCTATGTAAGTGTGATGAAAAGCTGATCTTGCTGTTTCTTTTCATTATGTCCAAATACATTTAGTCTTTTTACAAACAATATTTTTTGGGAGTGATTTAATGTAATTAACACAAAGTGTTTCATAATTGTAAAGTGGAAGGATATATTTTTTTATTTTTACAAATAAAAACTTGAAAAGTCCAGTGTACATATTTACTCTGGTTATTGATCCATACCTTGCAGAGCCACCTTTTGCTACAACTACTGCCTTCCTGGATTTGTCTACCAGTTTTACATATCCAGACATAAAATTGTTGCTCATTCTTGCTAACTAGATCAAGCTCTGACTCGATAGAGAACATCAGTGAAAGGCATTCTTTTGTCACAGTTTAATTTGGGTTTGGACTTTAACTAGACCATTGTAACACATGATGTGCTTTAATCTAAAAGTTAAAAACTTTCACTAGCAGCTCTGAATGAATCAAATCAAGACACAGCTCTCGTATTTAACAGTCAGATGCATTTTCTTCACTGTGTAACCAGCTACTCAAGATATTAAAACACAAGATATGATTGTTATTTTGAACAGGAAAAGCTCAATAAAAATGCTTCTTGAGCCTTATTCACTGTGAGTCAACTATTTTTCTCTTTTGCTCTTATAGAATATTTATTCCTTCATAGAATGCTGTAGTTGAGAAGAAACTCACCGCTGAAGCTCAGTTTTTCAAGTTCCAATGTCACTTTATAGTTGCAGTCAGTCAAAGCAGTTGAGCATTACAATATGATCTATCAGTTGTATGTTGAGAAACTACAAGGCTTTCAGTAAATGGAGTGATACACTTGTGATACACAGAGAAACTCTCCTGATTGACGTAGGTCAAGGTCTGATATTATGTGGTTTCATTAGATGTACATGTCTACAGAAGCAGCCTCATTCCTGCTTGACAATCAAGTAATATTTCAGAGCTGATTTTAAAAAGAACCAAACAGTGAAAGTCTGCTACCAAACAGTGGATAGAAAATGGGAAAGAATGGCTTTCCCATTCCAGGTCATTCAGCCTCATTTTACCCACAAGTATACGGCATGAAAGGAAGAAATACTGTGATATGTTGAGATGCTCAGACTTCTGATTGCAGTCAAGTCCATTATTCAAAATACAACATATCTTGTGGCTGCGGTATGGTGCACCACAGTTGGAGAAATTGTGTCCTGTACTCCAGATCTCCATGTTTGATTGTTGAGCAGTGTTGCAAAATGGCTCTTCAGTGTGCGGCTTTCATTCTCCACACTACCCTACTCTTACTTTGCTCTGAATAATCATTTAAAGCAAGGTCATTTTGATCTTTTGCCTCAATAGACCTCAATTAAATATTCATTCATTCTGATGCGGCCTCTTCTGCGTCTTCTTCGGTATGTGTGTTAAAGAGACAAAGGCTTTTGCGTTTGATTATACAAGCCTTCGTGTGTGTGTGTAGGCGTGTGTGTGTGGGTGTGTGAGCGCGCGTGTGTGTGTGTGTTTGAGAGATCAGACACCATTAAACAATCCTTTACCCCCGATCAACTGTGTTTAGTAAAAATGTTTGCCTAAGCTATTCTGATTTATGTCCTTGAATGTTTGAAGAGAAAGTTTATTCAGTTTAGGAAGCTCATTTAAGCTTTGAATCCAAGTGTTTTGTTTATGATGTTTCATGCTCTGCTACATATTTGTCAATAGGTTCTTTTAAAGTTTGTAAAAGGTTTAAAAATGTAAATGTTATGTTAAAAATTGAAACATATTACCATTTATATAATCCAACATATATATAATAATTCTCATAAAACACTTGCATAATAATTCTATAGATCCAACTCTGTAATTCAAGTAAATATCCAGTGTTTAGAGTTACATTGTTAATTATACCAACAAAACTACATGTTAATGTTAACTCAGTTATAATTGAACCCATATGTTTACATACACTATTAAAAATGTATTACCTTTATCTCAAAACACCTGCAAATTACATCTCCTCATGGGTCAATAGGCTACACAATTAAGGACTGTTGACTTTATAGATGTCTAGAAGGCAGTCATCAACACCCTTCACAAGTAGAATGTGTGTTTGCGGTTTTGTATTTGATACATTTTTCCAACAAATAATATGTGGTATCAATAACCCTTCATGGGAGCCAAAGTCTGGGCCCTATAAGAAGAGGTGCTGTTTTTGGGTAAGGCTTAGAGTTAAAGTGTAAATTGAGTTTTGGTCAGATTTAAAGTTAGGCATGAACTGTACCCTCAAGGTTGTATGTTATCCCTGTTGCTGATGCAACTTTCATGGTGTTTTCTTCCTTTCAACTTACTATAAATATGCGTGGATAAAACACTGTGAAAAAATCAGATTGTCTAGCATTGATCTTTGTGACTTACCCTTCTTGAGGATGGGGTCAATGACTGTTTTCTGGACATTTGTAAAGTAAACAGTCTTCCCTGGATTGTGTTGCCTGACCAGTGGGGAAATTCAGGTATACCAGCAGCAAAGTGAAAGGCAAATGGAAGCATGCAGAGTCGCATAACGGTAAAACTAAAAAAAAAATTAAAATGACATGTGAGCAAAGGTCAACTTGACAACACCAGAAAATGGCTGTGTAATTTTATCAGTTGTACAATATTTATCAATATTTGTTTTCCTCAGAAAGTATTGATTTTCCATCCATGAATATCAATACATTAAATCCTACTTTGAGTTCTATGTCAAATCCACATGAATTAAATGATAACTATCATATATGACATTTTTTTACCCAGTTGCGCATGCACACTAAAAGTGACATGTAATCAAACAACCAGTTACAAATAATTTAATTATGAAATTAAATAGATAAATTACGTTATATAATATAGGTGAATAAGACAAAAAAAGGTTCCTTTTCTGCATAACCAGATACACAAAGCCCCATATTTAACATTTAGACAAAGCAAATGCATGGCATAAAAAAAAAAAAAAAAAAACATTTATTACACCAGTGTTACACCATCAATTAATCCAATACAAGTCTATGGAACAGTCAGAAAGTATCACCAAAATCACTTTGTCCCTCTAAATCTTTCAAAAAATCTAAAGAATATGTTGAATTGCATCAAATCGTATCGTTTGCCGAATATTGTGATGTATATCATATTGTGAGCAGAATATCATACATTTCATTACATTGTAAGATTAATGTACCGTTACAGCCCGAAAGTGTATATGCTTAATAAACTGTTTTTTTTAACAAAGTAGAGTGGGAATTTGAACAACTAATTGAGAGTGAGTTTGTTGGATACAGTGATGGTTATAAATTTTTACCAGCTGCTGGGAATGTATGGTTGTAGATATCAAGTTTATCTCGTGAGTATGCTAATGTGAACAGATATAACAAGAAGCCACTTTATCACACAAGGTTGTCAAGAAGGACATAAAGAAAATAGGTTGCATTTGAATGTTTCAGCACCGAGGACAGTTCTCTGCTCTGCTCAATAGGTGGATTCATTGACAGCCAGTTCAGCACCGTAACACATAGACAGTTTCAGGCAAAATACATACAATGGCTTAGTTCATCTCTTAATTTATTTTGGTATTAAACACATTTCTGGACTGAGATGTCTGATGTTGTTCCTGGGATCTGTTGTAGCCACTGCTCCAGTTTGGGGGTTACTGCCCGAGGGCCCGATGACCACAGGCACCACTGTGGTCTTCACCTTCCAGGCCCTCTCCAGTTCTTCCCTGAGGCCCTGGTATTTCTCCAGTTTCTTGTGCTCCTTTTTCCTGATGTTACAGTCGCTTGGTATTGCTACATCTACCACAACGGCTTTCCTCTGATGTTTATCCACTACGACAACGTCTGGTTTGTTCGCCATTACCATTCTGTCTGTCTGGATCTGGAAGTCCCACAAGATCTTAGCTCTGGCGTTCTCCACCACCTTTGGGGGTGTTCCACTTTGATCTCGGTGTTTCCAGTCCATATTCTGCACAGATGTTAAATTTTCTGGGCATAAGATATTGCACTTTCAGCTGTAGTTATTATTTAGTCAGTATTAAAAATCAATAATTTTATATATATATATATATATATATTTTTTTTTTTTTTTGCTTTTAACTGTTATGGTTATAATAGTTGAAGTATGAATATGTTTAGCTAATACTGAAAAATCAGAACTCTCTTTTCTTTCCGAAATAAAAATACCTCAGTAGAAATGTAGTGCTTTTATCATTCTGATTGATTTTTTCAGAAATTGTCCGATTAATTGGGATATTAACATAACTTTAGTTGGTTAAATCACACCACACTACCTGATTTTGAAAATTTGTATTCCCATTTAATCTTATTTCATAATGAAGCTGTTAAAAAACTTCTTCGTGTTGGCTTTTGTTCCAGCAAATAATTTAATTTTCACAGTCTGAACAAACACAAATACTTGTTAAATCTGATACTGTCATAGTTGTGACAGCGCAGAATGCTTTTTTAAGCCCTACCTACCATTAAATTTAGCACTACTTTAGTACATATTTGAGTGTGCAGCAGGTGAACAATGGGTCCAAGGATGATTTGCACATGAATGAGGTCTGTGAATAAGAGCATGTGTCACAGAGGAAGGCTGTCTCCATCGTCGGAGCAGAAAGGTTTGCTCCCTTCTGCCCCGACTACAAGGACCAGGTGAGGATCTTTGACACAAAGGGCCAAGTGAAAATCTGTTCAGCACAGACCTATAAAGACCTTATTATGGTGATGCTTCTGGGAGGACAAATAACAAAAACAGTGTTGTTCCCATCTATGTCTGCCTCCGATGTCTTTGCAGATCGATGTCACATGTTTTTTGGGCTTTCATTTTTAGATTATGAAGCTACAATATTGTTCAATCCTACATAATGTATCCATATCTGTGTCCCATACTCATGTTTGAACTGAGGCTGTTCAAATTAGTATCATAATTATTTGAAATTATTACAATGATTTATAATAATTATAAATTAATATGATAATTTATTCTTAATTATTATAAATCAATAATTATAATAAATCTGTAACTTTAGTGTGTGTGATAAAAAATTCACTGATTTATTTTCTCTTTCCTAATTTATTTTCTAATCTAAGTCTAATCTGAAACAGAATGTTTGTTGCATTTGTCTTTCACCTGCACAGATGCATTTTTCATAGTTCTGGAAGTAGCCTATGCTTGATT